TTGGTGGCTGTTTGTCCCTAACACAGACTTTGCAAAGGCATTTGGTCCTCTTGCTTCTATGAGGGCTCACAACTCCTGCATTTTTCTTCTCTTTCAGTTCCTCCTCCAAGAAAGCTTTCAATGCAGGTGTTCTGTGGATTTCTGGGAATATCTTTATTATGCTATTATAGTGGAATGACAATTTGGCTGAGTGTTAAATTCTAGATTTGTTTCTTTCAGTTCTTTAAATAACACCTTATATGGGGCGCCTGGGTGGCTCAGTCGGTTAAGCCTCTGCCTTCGGCTCAGGTCATGATCCCAGGGTCCTGGGATCAAGTCCCACATCAGGCTCCCTGCTCAGTGGGAAGTCTGCTCCTCCCTCTCCCTCTGCTGCTCCCCCTGCTTGCGCTCAATTGCTCTCTTTCTCACTCTCTCTGTCAAATCAAAAAATAAAATAAAATAACAGCTTATAGTCTCCTTATATGATTTGCTGAGAAATCTGGTATCAGTGGCTCTTGTTCCCTTATAAGTGATCTGTTCTTTTTCTCTGTGGAAATTTCTCTTTCTGGAAACTTTGCTTTTGATGCAGGCAGGTTGGGTCCGAGGACCCAGATGGGGGCCTCACAGGACCAGCCAAGAGGGTCTTTGGCTTGGTGCAGGACAGAAATCGAATGTGAGCCGAGAGGAAGTGAGAGCGGAGTTTGTTGAAGACTGAGAATATGTAGAGAGGACAGAGCGCCCAGGAGACTCTGAAATGACAGGAGAATGAGTCTCGTCTTTGCTTGGGGTCTCGGTTTTTATTGAGGATGGTGGTCTGGTGCACATGTCCCTTCAGGCATCTGGGAACTGGTCAGAACAAGGACAAGGGCTCAGGTGTCCCCCTTAAATCGCTATGCCCTTGAGCCAGGGGCTTGGAGTCAAGGTGTGTGGAGTCGGTGGTCTTGGAGAACATTCATGAGGACCGCGCCTGGTCACTCCTTAGATGTTATCTGTTGTGCTGGAAGTCTCCAAAAAAATCACTAACTCCTTGACCTTTACAAGGAGGACATACGTTACCTGTGCAAGAAGGCAGGTGTACTACGAGGGTGCAGGTCCTAGCAAGAATAGAAGAGGGGAAAGAAGCGAAAAAAGAAGTTTTCCATGGGGCCCCTTCAGTTTCCCTGTCCCAAACATGTCTTTTGAACAACAAACATCGAATTTAATGCAGGCATACAACTTTTTCTCTCCTTATGCTTATTAGTCAATAAATGCATATTACCTCTGTTACAAAATTTGTCAGCAGGAAAAATAACTTGGTGTGATGAAATTTTCATAGGTAAGCTAGATATAATTGTTGAGGAGAACAAGTGAATTAAATAGATGTAAGTGGGATAAAAGTTTTTAGGTGAATTTTTAAATCATTTTCCCAAATCTTTTTGGTAACCTAAAACCTTAAAGTTTTGCTAAGTTAAATGATGGATAGTCACTGAATATCTAAATCATTTCCAAATAAAATAAAATACTGAAACATTACTTACTGAATATAGACTTACCCATTTTTGGGTCCAATATTCCAGAGAAGCTGAAGCTATTGATTGGGGCCGTGAGTGAGCGTGAGTGACACTGGAAATGGCAGGGAAAGGAGAGGCTACTGTGAAATGTGTCCAAAAACTCACCAATCTACAGACGCCTAGTGTCTCAGTTGCTTATTCCCAGTTTTCACTAGAAATTAGGGTTTTTAAGGATTAAACATTCTAATTAACATCTAATTAAAACTGCTAGAAATAAGGGAAATATCTCCATATGCAAGGAAAATAGGATGTGTATTTTTGTTAAAAAAGGCATTAGGAATGGAAATATACTTTGTGGAGGGAAATGAAAGTAATTTTGTCTTCAAGTAAAGCTGGTTACTTCAGAAAGGGAAAGAGAACAGGGAACAAACTAAAATAGAAAGTTGTAGAAGGTCTGTGGAAAAGGAATTTTGTGGGAGGAATTTTATGTGTGATGAGCTGGAAGAGACTGAATGAATTTGTCCTCAGGGTTTGAAAAATAAGCTTCGACATCAGTAGTGTACGTACATAAAACTGGGACCTCATTTTCTTCCTTCTGCTAAAAGGACATTGGTCTTCTCTTGGGGAGAGATTGTGTTTCCTTTATTTTTCCAAATTATCTGCCCAGAAAACAAGGATTCTATGTTTTGCCAAAATAATTTCCCATGTCTGTCAGGCCTTTGCTTGCTAAAGGAAACCTAGTCCTCTCGATATTAAGAGTTAAGTTTTGCTAAGAACTACGTACCCTTCTGTGCTTGCCTGTGAAGCCTTTGTCACTTTGGTTAAAGAGATAACCAAATATTGTTTCACGGCGATCTGTGATCCTATTTGACTAAGTATTTGAAAATCTTTTGATCTTTTTGACAAACTTTCCAAAATTCAAATTCCAGGTAAAGATTTTTTTTATTTATTTGAGAGAGAGCGAGAGTACATGAGAGGGGAAGGGTCAGAGGGAGAAGCAGACTCCCCACCGAGCAGGGAGCCCGATGCGGGACTCGATCCCGGGACTCCAGGATCATGACCTGAGCCGAAGGCAGTCGCTTAACCAACTGAGCGACCCAGGCGCCCCCAGGTAAAGTCTTTTTGAACTTGAATTAACTTGAGTTTTACAGAGAGTCCCTGCAATATCTTTAGATTTGTTCTCTCTCCTTATATAAAGGAGATTTTAAAGTAATTTGGCTTATTTGATATGTTAAATTACACGGGAAGTGTTGTCAAATAAGAAACAATACTAAGCCTTCTTTACCTTATGTCTGTATGGGTATACGTTATACATGTTCCAGAAATTATGTGCGTTTGTGAATTATGTCACAGAAACAAGCAAACCTTCTTGTCAACTCCGTCACAGTGAGTTCTCATCAGACGTATGATGATGGGTGTTGAAGCTTTTTGTCATCTATAGGCCACTACTGTGATGCTTTTGCAAATCGCTTCATCTGGAGAGAAACTCACGGAACAGGCTCTAGAGTATAGGCCTCTGAGGACTCCAGAATTACACCACTGAACTGGATTAAAGGACACTTTCTCTCAAGCTCTCTATGACCTACAGCAATTTAGTAAAATCTTTGTGAAATATAAAACAATTACTTTTTCTCCCTACTGGATCCCTCCAGAATTCAGAGACTCTTGAGAACTTTTTTTCTGGTGGCAATACACTCACTTAGTTGCATTCCTGCAACAACAGTCTGTCGTCCTTGTAGGTGGGCCACTGGCTCCATGGCTAAGGTCCTACTGGACAGGGTCATTCCTACCTGCCCCCCCAACCTTTGAACTTCATGTTTCCTGGGGAAGGTACTCCGCTGGTCAGGTACTTTGACCATCAGTCTAAGAACACTTGCACTGTGCGTACCACCCTCAATCCTCACAGCTATTCAAACACACTAGTATGCCACCATTTAGACTCAACTGGCAAAGTTCATAGAGGGCCTCCAAATACCCCGGCCCAAGGCACTGTCACTAGTCTGGAATCTCAGGTTTATCCCTTTTGGAGCTCAAAGACTCACCCTTTGAGATACCACAGGATATGCAGTGCACCTGGTTCCTACTTCTTCTGACCCATAGCTAAGAAAGGGAGACATACTTTAATATTGCACAGACCTAACTGCTTCTATTAGAAATAACCATGCTTTGGAGTGCCTGGGTGGCTCAGTCGGTTAAGTGTCCAACTCTTGATTTCGGCTCAGGTCATGATCTCAGGGTCGTGAGGTCGAGCCCCATGTCGGGCTCTGTGCTCAGTGTGAACTCTGCTTGAGATTCTCTGCCTTTCTCTCTCCCTTTGTCCCTCCCCCTGCTCACACCCAGGCATGCACTCTCTCTCTCTAAAATAAATAAATAAAATCTAAAAAGAAAGAAAGAAAAGAAAAAGGAAAAAGAAATAACCGTGCTTTGAGAAGCCATCTTTTTACAGAGATAAAGACCTTAAGCATCACATCTTGCAACCCAGAGATCCTATCTACAGGAAAAGATGCCTCCTCTAAGACTCTCTCCACCCTCACTGGAAAGGCCCCTCCCAGGTGCTGTTAGCCAACCCTGTGCTGCCAACAGGACTACAGGGAATAGACCCTCAGGCTCCCACAAAGCCTCTGAAGAAAGCACCCAGGGCTGACCGGCCCTGCACGCCATCTGATGACCCGGAAGTCAAGACTCCCTAGAACTGAAGCAGAGGGCACCTGACGGGACAGTTTTCCCCAGATGACCCAGCCAGGCCCCCGCGCCCTTTCTTGCTTCAGCCCCTTATCTTACTTTCTCTCTCTTTTTCTTGAGAAGACAGTGCTCCTACCCTCATTTCCCAATCTATTGCAAAAACGGAAAACCTTTCTTACTGTTGGTTCTGTCACCAGAAACTCCAATCTGTTCACAGTGTCCGAGACCTCTTGGTCTTACCTGCAACTAATTTTTCTTTAGTTCCAAAGGCGCCTGCTGATGATCCCTGTAAGCGCATGGATGTTACCTACAGGCCAGGCCATGCCCAGGTATTCCCACACCTTGCTCCAGCTTTTCCCCAATCATACCAGTGCTGCTCAGCCAACTCCCCCCATGTTTGCCAAGCCAGTCTTCACTCTCCCACGTTCTCCCCTTATCTAAATGCGATCTCTCTCCCCATGCGCAAGAGAAATACAAGTGAGTTTACACCTCTTTGCAAGGTTTTTAGAAAAGACCCCTTTAGGAAGAGATGGCCTCACAGAGTGTCATCCAGACTCCTCTGACCCAGACTTCTCTGACTGATAGGATCAATCAGGAAATTGTGGCTAATGAATGTATCAATAACCAAATCATAGCTGGAGTCCTCTACGATCCATCTGGATTTGCTTTTGTTTGCAGTGGATGGCATTTCCCAGGGGCATATGAATATTTAGATAGCTGGCGAGTCAGAGGTCAATACTTACTGTGACACTTCACTGTCCCTGTTAGCAGCCATAACACACCAGAAGCTTCCCATGGGCTCACCCCACTGAGCCTCCATTACTGCCTCCCGATAGAGGCACACCTGACTCTGGGTTTGCCTCCCGAGGGAGCGTGTTTTTTCCAGGGTTGGAGTAAGTGCTGAGCAATGCATGATCAGAAATGTCTCCCAGACATGAGGAGACTTGGCCGGCTCCACAGCCAGAGCCGTGGCAGGCCGGCAAACACCAGGGGACCCACTGGCCCGAGTGGTTTGGGACGGCTGCACAGCCTTGATTATCTACTTGCTGAACAAGGAGGTGTTTGTGTGATGGCACATGGCCTCTGGAGAAGTAAAAGTTCACTTACACAAGATCAGGGAAGGAGCACACTTGTACAACTCCCCCAATACCCCATCTGTTTCGCTGCCTACCTTCAGGTCGAGGCTCCTCCTTTAGAGCCATTGCCCGAAGTGGAGTTGTATGACTTTTAATTCTGCTTTGCATAATTGTTTTTGAACTTTGTTAAACCTCTGCAAACAGACCCTAACAGCACTCTTGCAGGTCTTAGGGGCTGAGGGGCTTCAAGCTCATGTGCTCCTTCTTGCTGACCTAAGTCCTTGGTCCGTAGCAGAACTAACCTACTCTCCTTGAGATTTGCAGACCACTGGCCTCACGGAGTGAAGGACCAGATGCTCCCAGAAGATGAGGCCTGACCCCTCTGAATACAGCTGTCACAGATGCCAGCAAGTCTGTTCAGGGTCACACCCACATCCGACTGCGGCCCGGGTACCTGCTCCTCCTGTGTGCAGCCCCCCCACCTCCCCGTGCCTTCACCTGGTCAGGGAAGAGGGTCTTTGGGACTTGAGTTCACCCTTTTTCCAGGTTACCAGCTTCTAGAATAAAAGAACCCTTCCTTTCCCCCATCACTTCTCTCTCGAGTGTTGATTTTGGAGCCGCAAGCCACTGACCCTGACTGAGCTGGGAACCAGTTCTCTGTCCGGTAGCAGGTGATGCTGTCTCAGCTCTTGGACACAATCTCTACAGACTGTAGGTGTAAGTGCCTGAGGGTTCTCCCTCCTACCCCCCCTCGTTACTCAAAGGTGGCCCTGAAGTCTGATCTGTGCACTCTCCCTCTGACCCGGGACGAGCCGATCAGGAGAGACCCTACCCAGCACAGAGGGACAAACCCACGCAACGCCGATCAGCAGTGCCTTCAGGAAAGATCTTGATCAAAACGGGGAAATGTGGAAATAAATGAAAGAAACCTCACTTAAAATGGAGTCAGGCGGCGCCTGGGGGGCTCAGTTGTTATGCGTCTACCTTTGGCTCAGGCCATGATCCTAGAGTCCTGGGATCAGCCCTGCTCAGTGGGGAGCCTGCTTCTCCCTCTCCCTCTGCCACTCCCCCAGTTGTGCTCCCTCTGTCAAATAAATAAATAAAATCTTTTTAAAAATTTTTTTAATTTTTAAAAATAAAATAAAATGAAGTCAGGAAGGCCAGAAGGGGGAGCCTCATGCCCACCCCTTGATGCTGTGGCCCTGCATAATCATCCTGACAACACAGGTCATTTTTCACAGGGGGTTCACTTCTCGCCTTTTAGAAAAGGCAAGAAGATCTCTCTGCACCCAGCAACCACACGCGGACCACCACCCGTGGCTGGTGAGAAACCACCCGGCCCTGGACTCATGTTCTCCCTCAATAAGTGGCTCGCAACGGCCTTCCCTGATTTCCCCTGAAACCTGAAAGCAGCTGACCTTCCCTTCTCTGCTGTACCTGCCCGTGGCTCACCACAGCTAGCCTGCCCAGACCACAGTTACCAAATAAACTCATTCTGCTAGTAAAATAACTGGCTGTTTTATTTATTTATATATTTTTAAAGATTTTATTTATTTATTTGACAGAGAGAGACAGTGAGAGAGAGAACACAAGCAGGGGGAGCGGGAGAGGAAGAAGCAGGCTTCCCGTGGAGCAGGGAGCCCGATGTGGGGCTCCATCCCAGCGCCCCGGGATCATGACCTGAGCTGAAAGCAGACGTTTAACAACTGAGCCACCCACATGCCCCTAACTGGCCATTTTAAAGATTGACAGTCCCTTGCTCCTGCTCAGTGTTTGTCTCTTAATTATGTTAACCATGCTCCTTTCAGTGTTCTGGGTCCTTGGGACTCCCCCATTCAGTTTGGATGCTGTCAGCGAACTGGTTTTTCTCTTTAAGCCCCCTCCCACTTCGGGGTATGAGGACCTGCGGCTCCTCCAGCCCCTGCAGCCTCCATCCAAGCTACGGAGGCTGGTGGACAGCCTGGGGCACAGGCAGGTCCTTCCTGGCCTCTCCACACTGGAGAGTCAGGAGTACACAGTGAAGGTGCACATGTGAGTTGTGTCCTTCCACAGAGTCAGCTTTATTCAGTCATAAAGCAAGGTTAACACAATCATACAGCAGGCTCAGGTTTCCAAATTCAGTGACACTTTGCCACGTGAGTAACACGGCTTCTTACACAGCACACAGAGCAGAGCAGAAGACCTGTCACACCACAAACTAACACAGGAGGTGGGTAGTTAAGGAACCAAAAGCAAAGTCGGTCTGTGGGCGGCAGCCAAGACAAGGCCTCCGTCGGGGTCGGGGTCAGCTCACTCACTGCTGCTGATGTTCACACCGGGGACACGGAGAGAGAGCTCCGTTCCGAAATGGATCGGGCAGAGCCTCCGGCTGCAGCAGCCTTTCAGACGAGATCGGGCGCATTCAGAGTGGTATGGAAGTAGTCATAGAGGAGTCACGTCTGAAGAGGCTGACAGTTTGCTACAAAAACCCCCTCTGCTTCTGCTGAGTATCAGTTCCGGGGGGTTGTCTGCAGGCGCTGCAGTGAGCCCCCTAACTGCTTGCGGACACAGGCCCCTGCCTGACATGAGTGACTCCATCTGTCTCTCTACAAATAGTCTGTGCTGTTTCATCATCTGAACCAAACACGGGATTTCCTTCTCTGTCCCCTTTCTCCCTGGGATGTCCCCAGTCTCTGCTCCTGGAGAGCCCTGGGTTCTCCCCCCAAGAAGACCTCTGGGAAGTGGAGAGTGTTCCCTACATTGTGTGGGTGCAGGCCCGGTGACACGAAGACCCTACTCACCCCTGTGCCCTTTTATTTAAGATTTTATTTATTTATTTGACAGAGAGAGAGAGAGCACGAACCGGGGGAGCGGCAGAGGGCGAGGGAGAAGCAGACTCCATAAGGGCGCCCCACACGGGGCTCAACCCCAGGACCCTGGGATCCTGACCTGAGCCACCCCGGTGCCCCTTCTTGTGCCCTTTTAAGGGAGAGAGACTCTGGGTGTGCTGGTTGAAGCTTAACGACGCCCTCCCAAAGAGTGCCAAAGGACCCACGGCGCTTCCCTCCCCCACCCCTTCCCTCTCCTCCCCTTCCCTCCCTCTCCTCCCCTCCCTTCCCTCCAGCTCCTCTCCCCTCCTCTCCCCTCCCCAGGCCTCAGATGGGCGGAGCTGCAGAGACAGTGAGAAAGATTTAAACACAAACACTCCAACAACTGTTGTGGCGGTTGAAGCAAAGCCTCAGGCTGGGAGCCAGTAGCCAAGTCCCACTGCAGACTTGCAGCTGGAAGCCCGCAGAACAAGGTTTCCTGTGTCTGGGCAGGTTCTCAGGGCAGGAACCCATCCCAGCAGCCTGCAGAGCCGGGAAATCACGTGGGCTATTAACCAGAAACAGCAACAAAACAAAGCAACAGACTCCCTTGTTTTTAGTGACTAAGCTCTGTTCCCTCTTCCCACCCCCCAAAGTTGGGTTTGTTTTCATTCCTAGTACTTGAACCATTTTGGATTTGAACTTAGGAATTTTAGTTCAATCTCTTTGAGGCTTAGCGTTCTGAGGGAAAGGATTAATTCCCAAATAACAATTTCTCTTGGATACTGGATATTGGAAACAGGTTTATATTCAATAACATTTTTTTCAAAGATCTTACTTATTTATTTGAGAGAGAGAGAGCACGAGCACAAGAGGGAGAAGCAGACTCTCCACGGAGCAGGGATCAGTAACTGAGCTGAAAGCAGCTGCTTAACCATCTGAGCCACTCAGGCGCCTCAAAAGGGTTTATATTCAAATTGGGGCATTTTGAATGCTGTTGTTAAGAATCAGAGCTTCTTTATGCTCTCCTTTGATCTTTTTATTTCAATGCCCTGGATAATGAGAGAAAAAACTCTCTAAAGGCCTGACATTCAAGGGAAGCCACTTCAGATTTCTAAGTGAGCATGACTATAAACTTTGTTCAAACCAAAAGCCCAATTTAGGGCCCGCCACATAGCATGCTTTGGGAATGAGTGGCCTACAGGAAAATCATCTTGACCTTAAGATATCTATTAATGCTCCTGCACCCTGCATTCCTCAACATTATAACCCGTGTTTCCTGCCTAGATGCTAATCTATAATCTTTCTGAGTTTTTACAATATGTAGGAAAGCATATAACCCTGTAAAAACTGTTCATTCTTCCTTCCCTGTGAAGTCATGTTTCCCAGGCAGCTGTCCTAACTTGGGCTGGAATCACACTCTTTCTTTCTTTCTTGTAAAGATTCTTTTTTTTTTTTTTTAAGATTTTATTTTATTTCAGACAGAGAGTGAGCACCCACACCCAAGCATGAGCACAAGCGGGGGCGGGGAGGGGCAGAGACAGAGGGAGAAGCAGGCTCCCCACTGAGCAGGGACCCCTAATGGGGCTTGACCCAAGCCAAAGGCAGATGCTTAACCAACTGAGCCACCCAGGCGTCCCCTCTTTGTAGAGATTCTAAAGGGTTTGTTCACTTTACATCAACAATAAGATGATAAAGGATAACTTGGGGTCGAAAACAGGGTGGAAAGGGAACTGGGGCCCAGAATACAAGGTAATGTTAATCCAAGGAAGAGACTGTTCTTGCCCATGTCAGGGTGCTACGAAACAAAGGCTCCCACCACCAGCAGCCCTAGGAGGGTACCCAAGGGCTGGTTTGTGAGGAAAGTCTGGCCCCATCTCGAGCAGGGGCCATGGAGTTGGCCTAAAGTCTAGCTGGTCTAACAAAGGCCAGCAAGGGGGTATGGGGAGTGGCTCTTGGGATGATTGCAGTGAACCCTTCAGGAGGAAGGGCTCTGAGTTTATCTCTTTGGAGAATTTGGAAATTTGGAGAATTCTTCCGTGAAGAACTAGAGGGGATGAGATTTCACCCACCTTCCAAGCTGGCAAATGCGCTGCCAGTTTCAGAAGACACAGACGCCTGGGTCAGAGACAAAAGTCGGTTCACTTCCCACGGCAAAAGCAGCCGCCAGATGTCACTGTCCGTGGCGGGTTTGGAGAGAGCCAGATGACACCTGCACAAACTGAGGGCTCCCAGCCTGCATGCAGAGAACCTGGCGTTTCCATCCTGGGTGCGACCTCTGCCCCAGAAGAGATACTAGTGTCGTTATATGGGACAATAGACAAACCTACCCTCTGCTCC